AGTGCTCACTGGAAAGACAGATCCTGATGCTGAGGCTCCAATACTTTGGCCATCTCGTGAGAAGAGAAGACTCCCTGGAAAAGACCTTGATGTTGGGAAAGTGTGAAGGCAGGAGGAGAAGGGGACGAAAGAGGATGAGATGGTTGGACAGTGTCATCGAAGCGATCAATATGAATTTGAACAGACTCCGGGAGGCAGTGGAAGACAGGAGGGCCTGCCGTGCTCTGGTCCATGGGGTCACGAAGAGTCAGACATGACTAAATGACTAAACAACAACAACCTGGCTGTGGTAAGATCTTGTACAGCAAATTTTGCCACACATGCACTATCATGTCTTAAGGGTGGAACTGAATGACGAAGCCTTGGCCATTTTGGCTGGATCCAGCACTGTGAGAGGATATTCCAGATGAAGAAAATGGGGCTGATGTAGCTACTAATCTCTCTTTTTTCCTTCTCTTTTAAAAAAAAAATATAAGGAAGCTTGCAAAGATCAGAGCACAAGAACTTCTCAGCTGAGTTTTCTGCCAGTCAGTGGAAACCAGAATTGTTCAGATTTGTATTTTGCGGCTATAGCTTGTCAGATTTCTCCAGGCATTGCCCAGGGAATTCTGGTAGCTGTAGTCCCAAGCACACATCTGCACATCTGTAGTGCAAACCGACATTTTAATGCATTTGGGAAAGAGAAATGAAGGCTTTCCCATTCCATTTACAGTTTTATGGGGGAATGGGAGGAGATAAAAGCCCTTGTGAACAGGTTGTGGAAACAGACATTTATTTTTCTGTCCAGTTCTCCTTCACCACTTCATTCCCCTCCCCCTCTTCTTTATTGAACAGTTTTTGACATTTCCACTTACACCACCCAGCAAGGAGCTCGGCTGCTGCTGCATGAACTGGGTTTTGACTGGCTTTATTACATTTTTTAAAAAAGTGGAAGAGAGAGGCTATGCACTTGATCACCTCACACTGTCACTTCAATATAGGATTCTCACCACCAGAAAGGAGTTGCAATGCAGAGGGTCGGAGCCCACTTATCACTATTTAAAAATATTTTGAGGTAATAGTGATGTAAAAGAAAGGACTGAAGGGAATCAATGCATCAATTCAGCAGCAGGATTTGTGATTTTTGGGTCCGAGTGCAAATTATGTGAACGGATTTAGTCAGCCTCATCTAAACGAGCCATATTGGGAAATGTCTTACTTTATCTTCTTATTTATTTATTTATTTATTGGATTTATACCCTGCAACCAGGCATACCCTGCAACCAGGCATTCTGGGTAGCTAACAACAAGATAAACAACATAATATCAAAACATGATAAAAATAAAATAATGCATATATTCAAACAAACGTGTGGGAAACACATTTTCAAGTCTTTACACATGTTGATGGAAATCCAAAAGCAAACAACTGCTCTTGATAGCAAGGATTCTTTTGTTCCCCCAGAAAAAGTCCAAGCAGAGATTGATGATGTTGTCGGAACTGCTCAGCCCAGGACTGAACACCGAATAAGAATGCCATACACAGATGCCGTAGTCCATGAAGTTCAAAGGTTTGTCGATATTGTCCCGACCAATTTGCCACATGCAACTACTACGGATGTTACTCTCAAAGGCTACTTCATTCCAAAGGTGATTAACTTGATTTAGTTGCACTCTGCTTTTCAGTTACAGCCCATCCAACTAAAAAATTCCTGTCTATTTTCAATAAAATGGCTTTCTAAGCAACATTCTCTTCAAAAGTTGGTGAACATCAGGTCCATACAAAGCAATCTTCACTATCTTTTAATCTTTCCTTAAATATTTTCTAAAGATTTCCCAACTGAAATCTTTAAATCTTCTCTGTACCTTAATACCTATTACTGCATCTGAGGTTGTAATGTTAATTTTTATTCACCTCATCATGATGTGTTATACTTCCTTTAAAAACCAACCTCTTCCTTTTCAGGGAACTCATGTCATTCCGTTGCTGACCTCTGTGCTCCATGACGAATCTCAATGGGAGAAGCCTCATGAGTTCTATCCCGAGCATTTTCTCGACTCTGCAGGGAAGTTTGTCAAAAGAGATGCATTCATGCCTTTCTCTGCAGGTACAAACATGTGCAGATACGGAGTGGGCTTCTGCAATAGGCAAACTCACTTGAAACAACACAACTAAAGGAGATGACCACCCATTCTAGAAAAAAGTGGTTTTAAATCCTAATATGCTCTGTAATACAGTGATAATCATTCCATTTTTAATTTTGCAGCATGGATAACTAATGAGATGTTATGATATTTTCTAGATTTCTGTTATTCCTCTATTATCATTAGCTATTATTTGTTTGAACACTTTATCAGTGTCTACATACTTCATTGTGTCATTGTTGTGTTTGTGATGGACTGCCTGGAATAATAGCTGAGATTCTTTGAGCAGTTGTGCAGATGGTAACTTTCAGAAGCAAAGAGCTACAAGTACAGAAAACTCTGGAGACATTCCCTGTTGCACACCAAATGATATGACTGAGGATGCAATAGATCATGCCTCTGAAGATTTACAACAATTTGCTTCCAAAAGGTGTACTGTCTGTAACTGCACCACGGGATTACAGTCAATGTGCTATAGAAAAATGTGTATAAAATGTCAAAATGTTTTAATGCCCATTTGTTGTGCTCTGGGCATTTTTACAGGGCGCAGGATATGTGCAGGTGAGACCTTGGCCAAAATGGAGCTCTTTCTGTTCTTTACAAGCCTCCTGCAGAGATTTACCTTCCAGCCACCTCCTGGAACTTCTAAAGAAGACCTGGATTTCACCCGAGCAATTGGGTTGACAACACCTCCCATGCCCTTCAATTTGTGTGCTCTGCCTCGATGAGATATCTCAAACTCACAGAATACTTAAGCTGTATTTTGAACATCCATAAGTAATTTTGCCTAGCAAGGTAATTTGGGCGAAGCAGCCTTCTGGTTGAATTGACCTATCTTTAATCATAAATCTCAAATGTCCCTTGTGCCATTATTGCTGTTTGAATACCACTCAAAAGAAGAAAAAGAAAATGGAAAAGGAAAAAAGCACAACTTAGTGGAGTTGGCCTGTAGGATTTTGGTTCCTGTGCCATTTGCTACAGAGTCAAAATCAAGGCTTTGCATATGTATTGTAGTCTCTACATAGTGTAGTTCTTGCTTTTGCTTCTAGATCATATTAAAGTGTGACAAATCAAATTTGTTTCTGGTTCACATCAAGGTCTGACAGAATTTTGACAATGTAAAGTTTGTACATGCTGAGGAAAAACAAACCCATTTGCTGTATTGAGCACTGGCTAAGATAAAGAAATGGCAGAATCTTCCTTCCAGAATGCAGGATAAATAATACTTGGCTACCTTTGGATTATTCCTTGGTTTCTGAAATATTTCTGAGAAATGCTCATTGGAAGAAGGTTCATGGTTCTTGTGTTGATCTTCTTTACGAAGAGGTGAAAAGATTATGTTCATGTATGCAGATTATATTTTATTATATAATTATCTCATCAGTATCCTGTCCCTGGGTTTCCCACATGCCATCTAAAGACTGAGGGGAAACACCATGGGTCAGCTCCTCCCTCACAACACTTTTCATATGCAAATCAGGTAACAATGCAAGGGTGTATAAATAAAGGGTGGAGGTGTCTGGGGTGTGGGGTCCACAAATAATACCTTTGATCAGCTCACAGTTTGACGTTAAGGACAAAAACACCACCCAAATGATTGATTGATTGATTGATTGATTGATTGATTGATTGATTGATTGATTGATTGATTGATTGATTGATTGATTGATTGATTGATTGATTGATTGATTTGGAAGAAAGCTTAGACTGAGCTAGGACCCTCTTTCAAGAGAAGAGAAACAGAAATTTTGGCACAGCTATAAGCTGACTTCTTCCAAAGAGCTGGACACAGTGCAGCCCATAATCGCACCTGCTAGAGAGTCACTTTGCAGAATTAACCCAATTTCCTCAATTTCTTGAATATTATGCATACCAGTCTCCTTCATATTCCCTCATAATGCCCTTGAATGGTTCTGTATATTGGTTCATTATAGAAAATGCAAAATACTGTAGCTGCCAGTCTACCAGCACTTACAGTCAATCTGTTCTCTAGCATGGGACTTCCACCAGTAACTGCAACTTTTGGGGGGTTTATTAGAACTTTCAGGCATTGTAGACCCCTCTGGGTGTATAAAGCTTGTTGTCTTCTCACTGCCGCTCAAAGACAAAACAAAACAAAGCCACAGAGATTTGGAAATGCATATATCAGGTAATGATCCCAGGTATAAGTCTTTTTTCCCCATTAATGCACAGATTGAGAGGGTACCAGGAACATTTATCAGTTTTGTAGATATGACAAAATTGGCTGGAATCACTAACACCCAGGAAAACAGTAACAACTTTCAAAATAGTTTGATAGGCTCAAGCGTTTGGATAAAAAGAACAGAATGAATTTGAACAGATTTAAGTGCAATGTTCTACACCTAGGGAGAAAAAAAGAAATGCACAGTTATTAAATAAGGGATACTTAGTTTAGTAATCATACAAGTAGGAAGACTCAGAAAACAAGAGGTAATGTCTACAGAGATTTATCAACTTTGTAGCAATTTGTTGATCAAAATTCTCCTTCATGCATAACTGCAACAGGATTTCAGCTGTTGTATAATCAAGAAATGAAAGCATTGGATCTAGTGTGGTATAAATTCCGAGCACAAACATATAAGAGAACCCCATTATGGGTAGCCCCCAAAGAAGCCTTTACAATGAAAGTGTTGAATCCAAAAGGGATGATGTTAACTTACAAAGAGTTACTTAATAGAGAACAAAACTTAAAAAGTAAGCAAGAACTAGAGGAATTAGGGGTGGCATCAGATTGGTGGTCATTGAATAAATTAGAATCAAGATATAGAAAAGATGGAAATTTGGGGTTTTTTGAAGGTGAAGTACAGGTAGATAAACTCTGGATTTATTCTGATGAGAAAATAATAAAGAAAATGTACACATATTTATTGGAAGATGGATTGGAAGATGAAAGGGTAAAGGAAACAATGATAAAATGGGCAAGGGATTTCAGTTATAACATTGATATTAATCACTGGACGATGATGTGGAAAGACTGTTATAAAATGATTAAGCCAGTAAATCTAACAGAAAATGTTCTTAAAATGTTTTACAGATGGCATTATACTCCTATAAAACTGGCAAAAATGTCAGAAGGTGGTAGCAATATCTGTTGGAAATGTAAAAAAAAGGTGGGGACTTTCTATCATATGTGGTTGTCATGTGAAAAAGCTAGGGGCTATTGGTTACAGGTGTGGGAAATGATAAGAGGAATTATTCAAAAGAAATTAAACTTGAGACCTGAAATAGCATTATTAAACATTATCCCAGAAATTACTGACAAGAAAATTAAATATTGTTTGATGTATATATTGATAGCAGCTAAGTTACTCTGGGCCCAAAAATGGAAAAGTGAAGATGTACCTACAATGGAGGAGCTCCTGAAGAAGATGCTGGACATTATAGAACTGGATACACTATCAGAAGCGCTACGAGATCAACCGAGAGATTATGCAAAACAAAGTTGGAACTTACGTAATACATGCTTGGGCCCAGGGTCAGACCTGAAGATAGGGCAAAATGATTGATGGGTTTTGTTTTCGTTTTCGTTTTTTTCTTTTTTTCAATACTCTCTGAAGTTTGGGAAAGCTGGAATGCAATGAGGTCTGGACCCCTGTCCTCAAAGGGGGGGAGGGTTTGGGATGTTTGTAATGTAGGTTTAGATATGTGTTGGTAGTGGAAATAATAATAAATAAATAAAATGAACTCACAAATCATAACCTAAAACCTTGTCCAGAAGACTATGTCAGCAAGAGATATTTATTTCATGATGGAAAATTTAGATAGTGATAGCTTTTGAAACTCCAAAAAACTTTTAGCCCTAGTTTCAATGAGGTTCATTGTATACCATCTATATTTGTCCACTTTCCTTTCTTCTTTTCATCTGAGTTCTTCTTTTTGCCCACCCACCCCGGAATAAAGAGGTGAGACAATGTTATGGATTTATGGGGCACACTTTATTATTATCCAATACAATCAATGTCAACTGTCAAAGAATTAGAGGGGCTTGCTGTAGTGCAGAATCAGGTTTGCAGTTGGGGTCTCACTGGAGTCTTAATCCATAAAATGGGCATGTTCCCAAGCCCCAAGGTCACGCGGTCCTGAAGACAGTGGGATCCTGGCTGGCCCATATTTGACCACCCCAGGTGTCGAGCTCCCATCTCACTGGTGACCGTTGGCCCAGGTGTGGCCCCAGCTCATCCTCCCCACACACACACTGTAATCTCATGATCCACAGTGTTGGGAGGTTGACTGAGCAATAGCATTACCTGTGATTGCAAGGGGACTCCCCGAACCATCATTATTCCACACTACCTGCCACAGCACTGGGACCTGCTATGCTGAGTCTCATGCTCGCCAAAGTTCCTCCACCACCTGATGCAGGCCCCTCTGAAAGTCCTTAAGAAATAACTCCAGGCCCATATCGAACAAATGCATGCCATCTCTCCTGTAAAGCGCTGGCCTGTCCACACAGATCCCTGGGTGAACAATAACCAAACCTAACCATCGCAGACTGCATGACATACTTCTCTATTTACTCTCTTACACGCAGTTTTAGTATGCTGTGGCTGGCAGTTAGCTCACCAAGCTAGTCGAGGTATCATTGTGGACCACACAATGTGCATTGCTGGATATTCCTGCTTCAATGCTTGTAAATCACATATAATATCTAAAATCAACAACTTACCTGTCCTTTTGGCCAAATCATTGCCTCCCAAATACACAATGAGCACATCAGGGTGCCAAGATGTACAGTGGTTAACAGCTCTGCACAGCTCACACCAAAGCATACCCCTCAGCCCTTTCCATTCAAACTGTGCCAATGCTCTGAATTTGCCCCCCACAAGCCAATGCAGCAATGTAATGTGCTTCCCAGAATACATAGCTGTGCCCAATGAACAGGATATGCAGCCGCCTCCTCGCAACCGCTGTACCTGCAAAAGAGAACATGGCCAGACACCAGCCTAGATTTGAGTGAAAGCATGAACATATCTCTGATAATTGTTAAATGTCCAACATCCCAATTTTTTGATAGCCTCAGGGGCATAACCGAGGGCAGCTGCCGTAGAAGTAGCACTGATCCTTAAAAAATGTGTTTCAAATCTACAGCCTTGTATTCCTACTTTTTGGAGAGCACATTTGGCAAGACAGAGTATGTTGAGTTAAAACTTGGGGCACAACTTTATTAACTATTTAAATTGCATCCCCCAAAATACAAGGGGGGCTACTGTAGTGCGATATTCTTTTACGTCTGGATAATCCTAGATCTCTGGACGCTTCCTATACCAGGGTGAGCTCCTATTACTGAATCATGCTGTCTGCTGAACACCACACCTTCAGTTGCTCTGTGAAATGGCACCCCCTAACCAGCTCATCCCACCGAGCCTTGTGACCCTAAATGGGCAGCTGGCAGGGAAGTCCTTCCATATGAGACACCTCTCCTCTGACAGCCGATAGGCTCGACCTGCCAGCAAGATGTCCTAATCTTTAGCACCCCGTGCCAACCATGAACTCACTCTACTTTTTTCATTGCACTACCCACCATGGCCAGGGGCTATTTATATGCCCTAGGCCTGCCACCCAAGCAGAAAATCTTGGCTCTAAGGCCCCCTTATAGGTCCTTAAGGAAGAGGCCCATGCCCAACTCTGACAAGTGAATACCATCACTCCTGTAGAGCTCAGGCCCGTGACTCCCAATCTTGGGATGTGAAATCAGTGACCCAACCCAGACCTCATTGCCAGCCAATTTCACGCCTTGATCTATCAGTCTTACCAGGCTTGCAGTTAGCTCGCAATGCCCAATGTGGAATAATATTAGACCACAGCAGCTTCATTGAAGGAAATGAATCCTTCAGTACCTGGAAGTCCAGTGACTTGCCTGTTCTCTTTGTCAGGTCATTACCACGCAAATGAATAACAAAAATATTGGGGGGGGTGTAATCTTGATGGTTGGAATTGCAAGCTCCAAGAACTCGTGCCACCGCATCCCCTTTTTCCTTTCCATTCCATGGCAGCTGAAGCCCCCAAACCTAAATTACGCCCCCATCCAATCTGCAAGACGTGTTTCACTGCCCAGTGAATATAGCTGTGACCATACACGGCCACTCTCAGCCGCAAAGAAATAGCCCTGGGTTCTGCAAAAGAAAAAACAGAATCACATCTATTAAGGGAGAGAGCAAACATACGTCTTAAACCTATGAGAGGACCACCTCCCCAATTTTTTATTTGA